GCTGCTGGGCCCCATCGTCCCCGGCACCACGGTGCCCAACGGCCCCAAGGTGCCCGGCACCGACTTCCAGCTTGACCCCGTCAACGCGGCCTTCAACATTGGCGCCATGATCCGCTGGCTCGACTACAACGACTGCTGGCTCGCGGCCGAGTGGGGTCACCCCTCGGACAACCTGGGCGCCATCCTCGCCGTTGCCGACTGGATCACGCGCACCAACAAGGCCGGCGGCAACCTCGCCAACGGCAAGCAGTTCACCATCCGCGACGTGCTCGAGGCCATGATCAAGGCCCACGAGATCCAGGGCTGCCTGGCGCTGCTCAACTCGTACAACAAGGTCGGCCTCGACCACGTCGTGCTCGTCAAGGTGGCCAGCACGGCCGTCGTGTCCAAGATGCTCGGCCTCAGCGAGAAGCAGATTGCCGACGCCGTCACCCAGGCCTGGGTCGACGGCCAGAGCCTGCGCACCTACCGCCACTCGCCCAACACCATGTCGCGCAAGTCGTGGGCGGCCGGCGACGCCTGCCAGCGCGCCGTCAACCTCGCGCTCAAGGTGCTCAAGGGCGAGCAGGGCGTGCCGACGGTGCTGTCGGCGCCCGTCTGGGGGTTCTACGACGTCCTCTTCAAGGGCAAGAAGTTTGAGTTCCAGCGCCCCTACGGCAGCTACGTCATGGAGAACGTCCTCTTCAAGGTCTCGTACCCCGCCGAGTTCCACTCGCAGACGGCCGTCGAGGCGTCGGAGAAGATCTACGGCCAGCTCAAGGCCCTCGGCAAGTCGGCCGCCGACATCAAGGGCATCACGTGTCGCACCCACGAGGCCTGCATCCGCATCATCGACAAGCAGTTCAAGCCCATGGACAACTTTGCCGACCGCGACCACTGCATCCAGTACATGTGCTCCGTCATGCTCGTCTTTGGCCGCCTCGAGGCCACCGACTACCCCGACGGCAGCGAGGCCGCCACGTCCGAGATGGTCGAGTCACTGCGCAAGCGCTTCAAGTGCGTCGAGGACCCCCAGTTCACCAAGGACTACCACGACCCCGCCCTGCGCACCATCTCCAACGCCCTGACCGTCGAGCTCAACGACGGCACCGTGCTCGAGAAGGTCGTCGTCGAGGCGCCCCTCGGCCACCGCCTGCGTCGCGAGGAGGCCAAGCCCGAGATTCTCAAGAAGTACCAGAGGCACCTGGTCGCCCACTTCAGCGAGAACAAGGTCAAGCAGCTCGTCGAGCTCGGCCTCGACCAGCAGAAGCTCGAGTCGACGCCGGTCGACGAGTACGTTGATCTGTACGTCAGCAAGGACAGCAAGTTCATCTAAAGTGTACGTGAGGACAAGGGAAAAGCAGTGTGAAGTGTGCGACGAGGTGGCCAGGATAGATGTTTGATCATAGAAATTGAGATATCTGTTCATCGTCATTTTTGACCCAAGCTTGGTAGGTACCTAGGAAGTGATTGTACTGTGCCATGATCACAATCAGCTGACCACCACCTCCACTCTCACACTCCCTCCGGTACGTCACACCGGGCGTGCCTTGCATCGCCCATGGAAGACCAGGCAAGGTACGCACAGTGGCCCTGTGTGTGTGTGTGTGCATCTCAGCACTTGTGTGCAACGCGAAGTGTCGCCCCGAGTCCGAGTGGCTCCCGGTTCTCGAGAGACTCCTTGGCCCAGAAGGGGGGGGGGGAGCTGACGAGGCCTGCATCGGCCCCACGGATGCTAAGGAGCCTCATTCGTAATTCGGCGACGCGGGGCAGCCCACCGCGGGATGATCCAATGGGACTGACAGGCGGTGGCGCCGCTTTCCCTTCAGGGGTGCTGGGGGGTTCCCTAGGGGCTTGGTCGATCCCCCCCGGTCCCTGTGGCCGCTGTCCGCTGTCCGCTGTCCGCTGGGCGGTCTCTCGGGTCTGTCAGACTCTCTACCGTCTCTGTGACTGATCCAGTTTCACAGCCATCGAGGTCAGACAAGGCCAACAGACGGGACACAACAGGGCTCCGCCGCCTTCTGTCTGCCCGTGTTGCCCCCAATCCCCTGGACTCTTGACTGGGCTAGCGAGCCGACTGGGCATCGGGCGGTCTGTGCCGGTGTTGGCGTGTACGTTCTGTCGTATTCCCCGTTGCGGTAGGTGGCTCGCCCACTTAGTAACTCGGCACTGGCTAGCACGTCTTCGACCCGAACGTTCGACCGCTGTCGACTCTTTTCCCTCTTCCCCAACTCCCAACAGCACAACACCCTGCTACGGCATCGCTCACAGCACCCAGCACACAAGGATCCCCTCCACAGACCAGAAAACCCACCAGAGAAAACAAGTGCCCATACAAAAGGCCTTGGACCAACCGCCAGCATGGCTGACCGCCAGACAATCATGGAGACCAACCGGTCGATCCGGACCATCAAGAACGTAGGCAACAGCCCACCCCTCAGCCCATGACCCTGGTCGCCGCCATCTTCAGCCCTGCGATGAACCCCGCGATCAATAGAGTTATGACCACAGCTGACGTGGCCTAGGAACTCGAGAACCTCCTCGAAAAGGGTGTCATCGACAACGATGCTTACGAGAACATTCACTCCATGCTCCCCGCCGAAGCTCCCCTTCGAGGCGGCGGCAGCGCGCCCGCCCGCGCAACCCCTTCCCAGGCGGCGAGCCCCGCGGCACCACCTCCGACTGAGGCCATGGCCAACATGAACATCAACAACCAGCAGCAGCAGAGGGCGAATCCTTCGCCGGCGCCTCCCTCCTACGCCAACTCGACGGGCGGCGCCGCCGCTGCCCCTCCACCGGGCCCCCCTCCACCCCCGTCCAAGCCCATCCTCGCCCACGCCCGCGCTCTCTACCGCTACCAGGCGGCCGACTCGCGCGACCTGTCCTTTGAGCGCGACGACAAGATTGCCGTTCACGAGTACATGAACGCCGACTGGTGGATGGGTCGCAACTCTCGTACCGGCGCCGAGGGCATCTTCCCCAAGACGTACGTCGCCGTCGAGGCCGCACCACCGCCGGCGCAAGACCGCGCCGCCTCCTACAGCGCGCCCCAGCAGCCGGGCTACCACAACCAGCCGCCGACGCAGCAGCTCTGGCCGCCGCCCCAGCAGCACCAGTATGCGCCGCCCCAGCCGCAGTACGGCCAGCCCTCAGGCCCGCCGCCCCAGCAGAACCCCTACAACTCGGACACGCCGCCGTCGGCCATTGCCAACCAGGAGAGCGCGCCGGCGGACGGACAGCACAAGGGACGGCGCCGGCAAGGCGAAGGAGTACGGGGGAGAAGTTTGGCAAGAAGCTCGGCAATGCGGCCATCTTTGGTGCGGGTGCCACGCTCGGTGGCAACCTCGTCAACAGCATCTTCTGAGGGGTCTTTTTTTTTTCCCTCTCTCTCTCTCTCTTTGGCGCTCTCTGTCGTTTTGGCTGGGTCGAGTGGACACAGCCGCTGCTGCGCGTTGTGAGAGAGGTCGGGCAACATGGCAACTGATAGAAAAGGATCGGGCGTTTTGGGTGCGGCGGAGTGATTTCTGGCTTTCATGGCCCAGAATAGCAGCAACAGCTGGCAATGGCTCCGTTGATTTCGTTCATGGGTGTTCTTTTCCCCAGATGTTTGATGATTGGAAATGCAAAGTATCAATATCACTCGAGCAGAGCAGGTGATCGACTGGCGCATGTTTGGTCGGTGAATGGTTGCTGTGTGCTGATGTCAGGTGAGGTAACAGTCCTCGCGATGCATTGGAAGACGCCAGCGAGCAGAGACGGGGACCTCTCGTGCCTTCCTGTCGGCAGCTGAGTTGTTCTTTGAGCAGGCGGCTCTCCTTCCTCTGTTTGACGTCTGGGTTGCCTAGGCCGAGCAGTCACGCATACCTCTCTCCTCCGACAAGGCATGTGTCGTTCCCTTCCGGCTTCTTCCCACGTCGTCTTCCCACGTCGTCTTCCCACGTCGTCTTCCCACGTCGTCTTCCCACGTCGTCTTCCCACGTCGTCTTCCCACATCGTCTTCCTCGGTTGACGCAGACTGCACAGCGCATCTTCGACGGAGACGCAGGCCGCATGCCAGCGGGCGCAACAGGTACCTACTCTGAGATTCCTTCGTACCGCTGACGTTAAGCCGTCAGAGACATCAACCTGCCTGCCTCCTGCGCTTCTCACCCATCTTCATAACTTGCGAGCTCCCAGGTCATGGCATCCGACACATGCATGAGCTCGGCTCACGTAGCCATCGAACGCGGTCCCATTGCCGACATCTCCGACTATCGTCCGACAGTTGTCGCCGACCCTAAACCCATCTTCCACAGATATATTCATAACGATGAGGCAATGCTGGCGGGTTATCTTGGCTTCGGCCACAGTCTCTGCAACCTGCGCACCATAGCCGTGAGCGGCCCAGTCTTGAAATACGTGCCTGCCGCTTTCGCTCTCCTCGGCGTCCCAGAGCCTGGGTGCAAGTCTGGCGACAAGACTCGCGAGGAAGTTGCCTGCATCTGGGCGCTTGCCTTTCTCTTCAACGAAAAGACCCGCTCTGTGCTACCCGACACGCTCCAGAAGATCCAAGACAAGTACAAGATATCTTGGAGTGCCGTCCGCTCTCCAAAGGCCCAGAACGAGCAGCTCGGTGACCCCAAGCGGCGCGGCCAGATCCTCGCTTCTGTCCTGTTGGCCATGCACCGCGACATCCTCGCCGCGCAGCAGATGCCTCCCGAGCAGTTCGAGTCCACCTTTGTGCCTGCCATTGTGGCTCTCGAAGATAACAACCCATGGGGTGCTCCAGTCTACATGCTGCCCATGATGCCGGGGAACAAGATCACCTGGCCTGATTGGGGTCCCATCAAGGGTCACTGCGGCTGCAAGGATGTGTGCGAGCCGCTCGAGGAGCACGAGGTCGAGGTCTATCATCGCTGTCTGAGCCTGATCCGCTACACCATCTACCAGCTCGAGCCTACCTACTTCTACAAGCACCTCGGCAAGTATATGAAGAACCAGCTGGACGGCCAGGTAGCTCTCGTCGCCGTCGCCAGAGTCAAGAGAGAGCAGATCGAGGAGGTCGCCGAAGCCCGCGCCAAATTGGTCGAGCAGCAGTGCAAGGGCAAGCCTAATGCTAAAGTCGCAGGCCCGATGCAGACCTCTCCCGCCTCCCATATCGACGAGCTGGCGCATTGGCTCTCGAGTGGAATGCGCGGAAAGGTACCTACTGATATCCTGCTAGAGTTTCAGAGCAATGTTAGAAAGGTCTACGAGATGGCCATCGAGCAGTACCCGGAGGGCGACTGGACCGAACAGGAAAAGAAGCTCATGTCGGAGAGCTTCACCTGGATGGTGACCCACGGTGCGGGAGGGCTGTCTGGCCCGCCTCACTGGACCGACGAGGAGCGGAAGATGTACGCTAACCTCCACCAGCCCTTTGCCTTTCCACAGGGTGCCAACGTCAAATTTGAGGTGAACCAGGCGAACGAGTACCTCGGTGCCTTGGTAGATTACATGAGCAAGGTGAAGCTTGCCGATGAGCAGGTGATGAAAGCCATGTCGGAGAAGCAGAAAGCGGCCCAACGCACCCAGGAGGCCATGGCCAAGTCGAACAAGGTCCATCACCACCAGCACACCGAAAAGTCGCGCCTGCAACAGCACCAGGAACTTCTTGCTCGCATGGAAGACGTCGACTAAATGTCATGGACCACATTCTCGCCTGAGGTGAAGCAGGGAGTGGAGAGGACCTTGGAATCACCACAGATATTCAGGCGAGGTGTTTGGCAACAATCAAGAAATTGAAATTGGGTGAACGAGTACATGATCTTGCTTGCAGGAAGAAAACACATAGTCTACGACCACGTCAAGTGGCTTGCAGTCTAAAGCACACTTCCCTCTCAAGAACTCTTCTCTCGCGAAATGAAACAGGCAACACGCAAGAACAGACCCAATCGTAAGAAAGCAACGCCATTCACCACCTAGCCCGTATATCCCTTAAGCTCGTGTCCTCGGACATAACACCGGCACCAGCATGGCGCTCCCTCTAGCTCCTCCCCACGTCGGCCTTCCAGTCCTTGTCATCATCCACGTTGTTGACGACGCGCGCCTCCAGGCGGCCCCCGGTCCACTCACGAATGCGTTTGCCGTAAACGTACATGGCCGGCAGCAGCAGGGCGACAGCCGCCAGGGCGCCGCTGTAGATACCAAAGTTGACCTCGAAGCCTAGGTCCTGGATCCAGTCCGTGACACGGAACGACATGGCGAAGCCGACGATGAGGCGAATGGAGGAGACGTTGACGAGGACGGGTCTGGAAGTGCACGTTAGCATAATGGTTTTTTGTATAAGAAAAAAGGTAGCGACAGAGGGGCGCTTCGAGGCAGAAGGCCGCAGAAAGAAGCCAAACGGAAAAGGGGAAGACTCGCCCTGCAAACTGAGGATAGCTCTCGACGAGATAGACGGCAAAGATGGTGTTCGCGGTCAGGAAGCCGAAGCCGATGAAGAAGATGGCGACGAGAACGACAATGCTGGGCAGGGTGCGGATGTTCTGCGCGGCGTAGCCGAAGAGGAAGGCGCCGACAATGCCGGCGACCAGGGGGAAGATGAGACTGATGAGGTGGGCCTCGGGCTCGCGGCGGCCGCCGTTGCGACGCGCGTGGGCGTTGGAGATGAGGTCGGCGACGTAGCCGCCAAAGACCCAGACAAAGGGGCTCGCGATGACGAGGGGCACGACGGCGAAGCCGAGCTTCTCGAAGTCCCAGCCGGCGGCGATGAGGACGGAGGAGCCGACCTGGCCGGCGGCGCCCTGGATGGAGACGAGGAGCGAGTTGATGGCGATGACCCAGATGACGTTGGGGAACAGGGTCGTCTTGAGCGTCTCCCAGACCGACTTGGAGGCGAGATTCCACTCGGTGCCGCAGTGCAGGATGCCAAAGTCGGTCTGGTTTGTGCGCGGGCCAAAGGCTGCCACGTCGAGGCGGGGACGCGTCTCGCCTGGCTGCAGAAGGTAGACTTCTTTGCCGGCTGGAGGAGGGGACTTGAAGTCAGCCTGGGCACGAGATGGGAGAGGGCGCACTGGGGGGTGGCATAAACGTACCAAGCTCATCGGCGCTGCGGACCCATCGCGTCTCGGGGACGAGGAAGATGATGCCAATCCAGGCCACTATGGCAACACCCGAGGTGAGATAGTAAATGAAACGCCAGTCGAGCCTGGCTACGATGATGGGGCTGCCGGAAGGTTAGATGCCTGAGAGAAACCGACCCATGCTAGACTTTCTCACCTGGCAATGCCCAAGCTGACAATGATCAACCCTTGAGATGCGCCAATGGAAGCAATGGCTTTGTTGCGTTGATGGATAAACATGAAGTCCTGCACAATCAGCGGGATCAGCGCCTCCACGGCACCGGCACCCAGTCCCTGGAAGCAGCGAGCGGCGATATGACTGTTGAGACTCGTCGAGAAGCCAGCCCAGAGACCGCCAGTCCAGGCACACGCGCCGGCGAACAGAAGCACGGGACGACGGCCGATGGCGATGGAAAGCGGCACGAGGAAGAACGAGCTGATGCCATTGACGAGCAAGGGCAGCGAGGCCAAGAGCGCAACCTTCGACAACGGGGGTCCGCCCAGGCCGGAGAGGATATCAAGCGGGTTGAGGTTCACCTGGCCAGGAGGAACGAGCAGGCTGATGTCGATCTGCGCGAGGATCTTGGGATCAATGCCTGTGTACTCGAGGACAAAAACAGGGACGAGGGCGCCGACGATGGCTTCGGCCGCGAGCGCCAGCGCGCCAACTATCGGTTCGTCAGTTCTCCACCGTCATTTTCAAGTGTTGACACTAAGCGGTAAGCATCTAGATGGACTCACAGAAGCAGAGAGCGCCGATGGCGAGCCACTTCCTCAAGTTTGGCAGATTCAGGGGGTCCTTGGGATCCGGCGTGGGCATAGGAATGTACCGGATCTGGCCACCCTCGAAGAGCTGAGTCGTCCCTACCACCAGGGCATCGGGAGACTCAATCCTCGCTAGTGGTGCCAGCTTTTCAGTCGACTCTGAGAATCTCTGATTGTAGTTCATATTCGCGGCCCTGATGCAGGTCTGTCGGTGTGGTGCCGCTAGAGCTGTCCGCAAAGATGTGCAGTTGCAAGGGCGAGTCTAAGAGTCAAAGACGAAGAGAAACTTCAAGTACTTTTGGGGACACAACTCTGTAATTTCATTCTTTAGAAAATGGAAAGCATACCATGGAAACGAAACAAAGGGGAATGGCAGGGTTGGCTGCAGGGTACGAGGGAACGACGTGAACTTAAATGACCTTGTCCGCGGTTCAGAAACTTTAGCAGACAGTAATCCCTCCACTGACGCTCCATCAGACACATCTGTCATGGCGCTAGGTCCTCGGAGCCGTTACTCGCAGTGTAGGTTTTCGAGACGAGCTTATCGACCAAGAGTCTCGCTGCAAGTCGGATGAGGAGTCATTCTGAGACGGGTGCCGTGATGGGTATGACTTGAGGCTGTCTGAAGCGCACAGAAGTTCGGACGAACAAGGTAAACCCCTGTAGTCGAACGTCCAGATTGGGGAGACTCTTGCGATAACGGGTATCACGGAGGCTTACATACTTTGGACATAGTAGTATCCAGTGGGTTCCCATATCGCGGCTGCTGCCTAGCCATCCTAGTGACGCATCATCAACGGGTTCAACGACAGGGAACAGGCCTTCCAGTGGACTCCCTCACAAGATTGCTGCTGACGTACGAGAGGCCAACAAGGAGGGGAAAACACTAAACAACTGACTCGAGGAACAAATGGTACAGAGCTCTGCTCGCGCGATCCACGCGGACACCACGACTTCGAGATGCGCGTGCAACCGTCTCGTTACCTAGGTAGGGGGCAATGCAATATCGGTCAATGAGCAAGGAATGCTTCACGCCAGCCCCAGCCCACGCCTCCCCAAGGAAAATAAATCGTCAACTGTGGCAAGCGGCTACCGCACACGCCGTTGGAAGTTTTAAATTCCTTCTATGCGCACGAGATAGTCTGGGGTGGTACGGATGAAACGGTTCAGGGGGTCACGAAAGTCGTGGCTCGAGCTCTAGACTTGGCTTCGACTAGCCAGATCGGCCGTGCTCGCAAGCCTGCTGGAGTCGGATCTGGTCCCACTTTGACCTTGAAGGAGATGGTCTGATATTCAATGGTACAAACGCGGCCTTGGTGGCTGTCTCGACATCCCAGAATAGCCAAGACCCGTGAGCCGAGTGAGACGCCATGCTGGCAACATGTCACTTTCGGTACAGCAAGATTTGGTTCCATGCGTCAAAGCTGTGCATGCTGAGATTCTGGCACAACTACGACAAAACATTCCGTCTCTTGCCCGATTCAGCCTCGGCGCTCATCCGTGGTATAAGATTCAGCCCCTTCCTCCATGACTCCAGGTCCCAGAAATGATTAACTCCGTCGGTCCTCAGCCGAGGTACGTAATGTCCAAGTGATCCTTTTGCATGAGCATTGTAAGGATTGGTGTCCAAAGAGAGACTCCGTTTGCAGTTCGGCGAGTGAAAGAGTTCGCCGATCAAGAACAAGAAGCGACGATTGCACTGCGTGCGCTGCGTCGTCCCGAATGCTGTAGTCGCCATTCCAAGGCGGAAACCCAACAGCAACATATGCAAGACCATCTCTGTCTTCGAGCTCGTTTCTCAGAATCTCGAGGCGCAGAGACCAAACACGAAGCATCATGCGCTTGCGCTCACTGAAAACCTGGGCGAGCTCTTCTTCTTCTTGAGCAAAGTCGCTCCCGAGAGCCTCTAGTTCCTGTTCCTTCCGGTCCGTTAGCTTCTCCAGCTCGTTTGCCTGTCGTTCGAGCAGCTCTTCCATGCGTTTGGCCTGTCGGTCGCGCAAAACATTGATCTTGGACTGGTGCAGCCGCGCCATACCGTCTCGTAAATTGTACTGCTGACCAAGCTCCTGGAGGTCGCGTTCCGTCACAACGCGCTTGGGGAGGTCTGAGTCGAGACCATGGCCTAGGCCTTCGCAGTATGCCTCCATGTGCTTCAGTCTGATTTTAACACTGTTCTCACTCTGCTGGAGAGTCATGCGGAGCTCCATCTCGGCCTCAATCTGTCGTTCGTCGAGGTGTGAGGCGGTCTTTGCGTGTCGTTCTTCCATCTTCTCCGTCTGATCTGTGTGTCTAGCCGTTGTAGCAGCCTTCTTTTCGCCGTGCCGCATCTCCATGTGCCACCGCTTCTCATTGACGAAGTCCTGAAACCGTTGCCTCTGAGCCAACACGTCGGCTTGTAGAGCCAAAAATGCAGGATGCTCGTGCATGCGGCGTTCAGCCTCTGCAGTTTGAGCGGCCTCGGCCGCTGCCGCGGCGTCTCGTGCAGCTTTCTCGGCATCCAGCTCTGCAGTCCGAGCTTCCTCCTCGATTTGTCTCCTTTCCAGCTCTTCTGTTCCATCGCAAAAGTTGGGACAGCCAACGGTCGGATTCCATATGGCACCGCAAATATAACAGAATTGGGCTTTGCAGCGGCAGGTCATGTGCGTGCAGCCTTGTGCCAGTTCTACCAGAGCGCGGCACTTGTAGCACCTCCTCCATCCGGATTTCTCGCCCATTTTGAGCACTTCGTTCAGTTCCCAATCTTCCGGGCATTCCTTCCCAATAGGGTGGGCGTTCCGCTTGCACATGATGCAGACTCTCGTGTCGCAATTCCTACACTCTACATCGAATGGATGTTTGGGGTCAAGTTTGCTGCGTGGGGGGATAAACTCGCTGCAGGCAGCATTCGGACAGAATATCCTTGCATCCCATGGAGTAATGAACTGTCGGACTGCCTTGAGAAAGAGATGTCGTTCCTCGGGTGTGAGGAGGTCTTTGAGGATAGAGCTTGGTATTGGCTGCGTGCAACACCTGGGTGGAAATTTGGACTCGTCTGTCGCAGCTTGTTGCACCACGACCCTCAAACATTGGCCGCAATACGCGTGACCACAGGGGAGGTCGTATGATGACGAGGACTTGTCGAAGTCGTCGCGACAGCAGATACACGCACTTGGGTTTCATTAAGTCAGCGATCACAGGACTCAACAAGGTTATGGTGACAAGCGCTCGGAGGCTCACATGGGACGGTCCAGGCCGCTTGCAGCCTTCTTTTTGCGTCGTATCCTCCGTAGGCCTTCCTTAATGTTGATGAAGCTTCTCCGCGTGCTGACACTAAACAAGCTCTGTGCCGAGTTGTCGGGCAGCTCAACTGAGTGTGATTTCAGAAATTTGGGCTGGTCAAGATTCGGGTCGATTTGTGTGAGGTATCGATCGTAGTAGGTAAAGCTCGTGTTCTTGGCTCGCTTTGCAGAATCGACTCTCAGCGATGCCTCTGAATCGTTGTTGTCAACAAGGAGAGAGCGCGAAGTTAGTGCCGTGCTCGCGGAAGCAGACGAGGTGGAGGAGAAGGTGCGCGCATGGTAGGTAGCGATGGTCGAGCCTTGCGACTCGGCGCTAGAGGTGTTGCGCTTCTGATCAGTTGACAGCATGTGCTCTGGAAGTTTGATGCCCAACGAGGCTGCTTTAGCGAGCAGATCCCTTTGGAGGGAGGTTTGAGCCTCGGGGCCGGAAAGGTGGAGAACATGGTTGAAGTAGTCAGTGTCGTTGAGTTCGGGCGGACTGGTGGTGTCGTCGGTGGCGCTGGTCGTGGCATCGGTCGGCGAGGTGAACACGCCAGCGAGCGACCCCATGGTGCGCTGCGATGCGCTACGCCACAGGCTCAGGTCGCGAGTTTTTGGATCTCAGGTCCGAAAGGACGGCAATATCATGCTGGTCCTGGACCAGAGAGACGCAGCAACGTTGGGTTGGGGTTTTTTTTCGCGGTGCAGCGGCCAGGCAATGTTGTTGTTGTTGATGAGGCCGCTGCTCGGGCCTTGGACGAACGGGTATGGAACGGTGGTGCAGGGTCAACGGCGTGGCGGTTACAGCTCGACGGCGGGTAGTTGAGGGTAGAGACCGAATTGTGAGACTGCGTCGCAGAACAGACGCGGTGAGCGATGGACTTTCGCTGCTAGAAAGCCGCGATTGAGGAATATGCGAGTCTAGAAAAAAAAGAACAGGTTGGAAGATGAGAAGACGAAGACTTGCACGATGCTTGGAAGGAAGAGGGAAAGGCAAGATATGGTGACAGGTCACTTGTGACCTGCAATCATCAGCCGAGTCGAATCGTGTCGATTCAGCGAGAGTGAGCGAGCCAGTAAAAGTCAAGTTGATACCGCCGCTGGTACCAATCTAGTTGGAGGGCGAATGCCTGGATCGACGGGGGTCGTGGCCGATCCTGAGGAGACAGCGACCGGGGGGTGGGGGGGCAAAGGCGGCGCACTGCCGTCAAGAAAAGTAGACTGGGTCGTTTGTTGGACGGTCTGGTCTAGCGAACGGACGGGCGATGGCGAGAGGGATATCAGCTGAGATATAGTGGCAGACGTCCTTGTACTGCGACTGTCACGGACTAGGCTCGTCAGAAGTGAACACAAGGTCGTTCACTGCTCGAGGCGTACGAGGCAAGGGATTGGACTGTTGCCGGCAGTCGTCTCTTTCCGCCCACGGCCAACGGTCAAGAGCCGTTGCTGTCATCCTTTCCGCGATGCTGGTTCGGGGGAGACAATGCTGGAGGTTTGTGGGCTTCGGTGGTGGGGGGGCCCTCTTTCTTGTCTCTCGTCTCGGATGCTCAGTAGCCGGTTGAGTCCAGGCTAGACAATAGCTGATGCGTTGCTTTTGGCGGCAAGACAGCACTTCACTGGTGCGCCCAAAAGGGAACGATACTTGGACCGATGGACATCTCTATAGGGATATGATCTCGGCAACGTTGTCCATCTTCAGGCTCATCAACCATGCCAGATGTTGGGTTGGGGTGATGTACGCGTGATCGCAGGTGCAGGCAGGTGCGAAGGAGCTGAGCAACAAGTGGCAACTGCCACCCACCACACCACCAGCAAGCACGACCGACCGACCGATAGCGATGCAGCAACAGACAGGAAGCGGCGTCCCGCAAAGCAAGGAAACAGCCTTGGGCGAGCCCCTCATTGGTCATGCACTGCACATACGCTA